GCTTAGAGGGGAAGACTAGAGGCAAGGAGATAAGATAGAAGACTACTGCAGCCACGAGGAGGCAGCCAACAGGCAGCCATCTATCTATATGATCCTACGGTGGCATAGAGCTGGTCTGGGCTGCAGGGAGAGATCTGGAGGCCCGAAGCAGGGGAAGGGTTTGCAAAGGAACAGAATGCTAAGCCTGGATGGAGCCTGGGGAAAGGGTGAGCAAATAGTACACTCTGTGAGGACAAAGGTCGGAGCTTACTATTACAACTCAGGTGACTTACACACTGCCTGATAACGTGGTAGATGCTCAGTAAATGTATCTTGAGTGAATGAATGAGTAGAGGAAAAGGAGCTCACAATAAAGGGATCAGGGAGGTAGGATAAAAGATGCATAAAATAATAATAGCTAACCTTTCTTGGGCACTTGCTGTGTATCAGACACGGTGCTAAGCTTGCTACCACATCGTGACTCATGCCATCCTCCCAGCCACTCCATGAGGCAAGCACTGGTATTATCCCCATTTTCAGTGGAGGAAACTGAAGAACAGAGAGGTGAAATAATTTGCCCAGGCATGCAGCTAGTGGGGGATGGAGGCAGGAAGTGGACTCGGGCAAGCTGGCTCCACAGCCCACACTCGGCCACGCCACCAGACTTGCCTTCTCTTGGTCACCATGAGAAAGCAGGGCCAGAGGTCAAGGGAGGCGTTTCAGAGAGGGAGCCATCAATCATGGCAAATGCTCTGGCGAAATTTAGGTAGGAACAGAAACCTGTCTATTGGATTTTGAAATTCGGAGTCTCTGGTGATTCTTGTCGGAGCGGTTGCAGAGGCACCACGGGGCCGGCAGCAGGCGGGTGTACGAGAAGGCAGAGCCAGGCTACAGGGACAGCAGAATACCAAGGGAGCGTGCACGCAGTGTAATGAAAAGAGCATGGGCTGATCCCTCAAGGGACCTGGCTTCAATTCCCAACCAACTACTTGCTGACTATTAACCTTGGGCATTTTTACTTCACCTCCAGACCTCTTAGTGTCCCCACCTGAAAAATGGTGCTGCTCCTTTCCTCTCCAGGTTGCCGTGCCGAATGAAGTGAAACCACGCACCCCTATCCATCCTCCCTAGCCCCTGCCACCCTCCAGCCTCTGAGGTCCGTGTCCTTGTACCTCCTTAAAGCCAAGCCTTCAGCCTGTGTTTAGGGGACCCCCATTACCCCTGCCGCTCCCTCCATCCGCCCCCAGGCTGTGCTCTCTCAGGTATCCCCTGCCCTGTGTTTTCAACATTTCTCCTTCCACTGATTCCTTCTGTGCCTGCTGTAAACATGCTTATGTCTAACCCCTCTTTTTTTTTTCTTTTTAAAGATTTTATTTATTTGATAGAGAGAGACACAGCGAGAGAGGGAACACAAGCAGGGGGAGCGGCAGAGGGAGAAGCTGGCTCACCACTGAGCGGGGAGCCCAATGAGGGGCTCGATCCCAGCACCCTGGGATCATGACCTGAGCCGAAGGCAGACGCTTAACGACTGAGCCACCCAGGCGCCCCAGTCTAACCCCTCTTAAAAAAACTAAAGCCTCCCTGCGCCCTGTGATTCCTCTAGGTGCTGTGAGCTAGCTGTCTTCCTTTACAGCCATACTTGAAAAATCTGCTTCCGCTTGCTGTCTTTTCTTCCTTTCCAGTCACACCTCAACCCCCTGGGAGATCTCCTCTCTCCCCACCCAACTTCACTGACACTACTCTTACTAAAACCACAGTGCCTTTGTGTTATCAAGTACAAGAGGCTCTATCTAGTCTTTCCTCCTTGACTGGACCTTTCTTGCTCCACTTGACTCTGATCACATCCTTCTTGAGCTTCTCTCTTCCTTGGCTTCTGTACTAGTACATTCTGCTCTTAGCTCTCTGACCATTCCCTCTGTGTCTGCCCTTTGTGGCCTCCTTTTCCATTACACCTTTCTTTCTTGAGACTTGGTCCCTGGCACACTGCTTTCCCTCCCCTGCATACTTACCTCAGGTGCCCTCGGCCCTCGTTCTGGTTTCAGCTGCCATGTCACCATCTCTGTGCTGAGGACTCTCTACCCGCAGAATCAGATATCCAGATGCCTACTGACCACCTTCAACTCAGCCTTCCTAAACAATTCATCCATGTTCCCTAGCCTGCTCTTCATTCTGTATCTTCTACTTCCAGTGGTGGCCACACCATGCACCCAGTCATCTAAGCCAGGACCCTGGGAAACATCCACATCTGCCCCCCTCCTTTACTCTCATCACGTACAGCTGATGTAACCCTTCTATATATTGGGTCTGCTTTGAGCCCTCCAAGATGGCTCCCCTACCTCCACTGTCTCCCACCAGTCTGACTGTATTCTATACTGGCCCCCAGGAGGAGCTTTCTAAAATACAAATCTGATTGTGTCGCCCCCTTGCTTAAGATCCTTCCGTGTTCCCCACCACCTTCAAGGCAAGTTTCTGGCCTTTAGTGTGGCCCCTGCAAAGCTCCCTAGTCCCTTGCATTTTATGCTCCAGCAAGAGCATACTATTTGTAGTTTCAGATACAGGCCATACTGTTTCTTGGTTTCCTTTATTCATTTGACAAGTATTTATTGAGCCCCTACTATGTGCCAGGCTCGGATCTAGGTTCTGGGCATGGGAGTGAATAAAACAGACAAAATCCCTGCCCTCGGGGTGCCTGGGTGGCTCAGATGGTTAAGTGTCTGCCTTCCGCTCAGGTCATGATCTCAGGGTCCTGGGATCAAGCCCCACATCTGGCTCCTAGCTCAGCAGGGAGCCTGCTTCTCCCTCTGCCTCTGCCTCTCCCCCTGCTCATGCTGTTTCTCTCTCTGTATCTCTGTGTCTCAAATGAATAAATAAAATCTTAAAAAAAAAAATCCCTGCCCTCAACAAGGCTACTTCCTAGTGAGGAGAGAGACAGGCAATAGACAACATCAGTGAAATGTAGAGTATGGTGACAAATGGTAGGGAGAAAAATAAATCAGGGAAGGGGGATAAATGTTGGGGACAGGAGGTTGCAATTTGAGGTAGGAGAGACAGGGAATGCCTCACCGAGGTGGCAATATTTGAGCAAGACCTGGGAGAAGCAAGAGAGCAGGAGCCAAGAATAACGTCTATTACAAATCCCTGAGGCAGGAGTATCTGGCATGATCTAGAAACAGCAAGACCAGTGTGGCTAGACTAAAACATGGCTTGGCATGCCCTTTGCTCTTTCTTTCTATATGCAATTCGCATTTCGAGGATCACCTCCTCCTGGAAGCCTTCCTCTCACCCACCACCCAAAGCTCTTATAATGCCCTGTATACACCTCTGTCATTGCCCTTACCATGGTGGTATGATCTATGTTTGATCCATCTCCCTGCAGCTTTCACTTAGGCACTTGAGAAATCCTTGTTGCTGCTACTTTGGCTATCCCTAAGCCTCAAAGAGTAACTCCTTCCACATCCCTACAGTTAGGACATTCCCCTCCCAAGCATACACATCCACACATCCACCAAGCTTGTTGAACAAATGGCTGAATGAGTGAACCAGGAACGGGGCAGGCCAGTATAGTGCCCTGGCCATATTTCTCTGTGCAGATATGCTCAATGACCAGCTGCGCCTAGCCATGGACATGAGGGCCGCCCAACTGGCCAAGCTAGAGGAGTCCTGTCACGTGGCCATGATGTCTGCCATGGCCAATGCCAACAAAGCTCAGGTATGGCCTGGGCCATTCAGTGCACCGGGCTCTCCCCAACCCCTTGAGCAAAGTCCTGGGGAACTTAGCCATGTCTTCACCCACACAACCTTTCCTGAAGCAACACCAGCCCTCTCATCTACCTGAGGACATCCCCTTTCACCTAAGGCCCCTCTTAGGGCAGAAGATGCTCTTCCCCATATCCAGACTGAGGATGACCTGAGAGCAGAACACCACCCTCCCTTCCCCAGCCTCTCAGTCTAAGGGTTTCCAGAGGGCAGGGAAGGTCCCTGTCCATTCCACCCCTCCCCCTATGTTAGGTCATTCAAAGGCCAGGCAAGAGCTGGTCCTTCTCTCCCAGAAATGGAGGAGAGTAGGGCCATGTCTTCCCCTCCCCTGTGACTAAGAGCTCCCTGAAGTTGGGTACCCAAATGCTCATATTCGGGGGCCCCATCAGGCAGCTGAACTGGCTGAGCGACAGCGCCGTGAGTGGCAGCATGAACAGGAGGCCAACTTCATGGAGATCCAGAACCAGATCACGAGTGACCTACTGACGGAGAACCCCCAGGTTGCCCAGCACCCTATGGCTCCCCACCGGGTCCTGCCCTCTTGTTGGAAGGGCATGACTCCAGAGCAGAGAGCTGCCATCAGGAAAGTCCAGGAGGTGCAATACCATGAAAAGGAGGCACAGCGCCAGGCTGACCAAGCACAGGATGCCAAATGGGAAAGCCAGAACTTTTGCTTGGCCCAAGCAACAATGGAGCTAGAAGAGCAGGAGAGGGAACTTTGTGCTGAATTTCAAAGGGGGCTGGGCTCCTTCAATCAGCAGCTGGATAAGGAGCAAAAAGCCCAGTGAGTTCTAGGGGGTGGCAACGTGGATGAATGCCAAGGGAGGGATGGGAAGGGCCAAGGAGAGAGGGAAAGCTCATCAGCTGATGCCTCTGTACTTCTTTCACAGGCAGAATTATCTGAATTCTATAATCTACACCAATCAACCTACGGCCCAATACTACTTACAGTTCAACAGCAGCAGCCGCTAAGCTCAAGATGCTCATCTCTCTCTTCTCCCTCAGCAAGCTCATGAAGCCTGGGAGTCAGAGAGGAGAATGCTTCAGGCCCCCTCCCCCAACTCCTTCCCCCACTATCCCTACCTTTGACCCTAGGTAATAAAGTTACCAGTAAAATCAAGGCTGTGTGCTGTCATGGGACACAAAAGGTATGAGGTACTGCCTTTCCCACCCCACCCCTGGGCTTAGAGCATCTGACCCTGTCAGTCTTCACCCATTCACCTTTCTTCCCCATGCCAGTTTCCCCAGCACACAGCGTTACGCACTCCGTGTGAGAAACAGACTTTATTAGGCACAGAGTGTGACTACTGGGCAGAGTTACAAGATGGCTGTGGGACTTCCTCCCAGGCTGCAGTAAAGTACTCCAAGGGAAGCAGGAAGAGAAGAGCATGTGTTTTCTCTGCCCTCTCCCTTCAAGGCTGCATGCGGATGGCCCCATCCAGCCGGATGACCTCTCCATTGATGAATGGGTTCTCGATGATGGCTTGTACCAGATGAGCATACTCAGCGGGATCACCCAGTCGGCTGGGGAAGGGCACCTGGCTGGCTAAGAAGTTGCGCACTTTTTCTGGGAGGCTGGTGAGCAGCGGGGTGCCAAATAGGCCTAGACAAGACAGTCAGAATCAGAGGCCCACCCTTCCTTTCATATTTACCTGGTCCCTCCCCACCTTAGCTCTACCTATGGTACTTCCCAATGCCCAGAAATGGAAGGCTATTGCTGCTTAGCTGGTAGATAGTTTCCCCTCTCAAATGCCCATGAATCCTACCCAATCCCAGGTGTGGCAGGGAGGGACTATCTCTACCTGGAGCAATGGTCATCACTCGGATGCCCATGGGAGCCAGATCCCGAGCAATGGGCAGAGTCATGCCCACTATGCCCCCCTTGGAAGCAGAGTATGCAGCTTGTCCAACCTGGAGAAGGAGCAGAGGTCACACGTGGAAGGACCCTAACAAGTCACCAAGGAGGCACAAGCCTTGCCCTCGCCCACACACCTGGCCCTCAAAGGCAGCCACGCTGGCAGTGTTGATGATGACCCCACGCTGGCCTCCCTGGTCTGGCTCATTCTGGCCCATCTCACCGGCCACCAGGCGGATCACATTGAAGGTGCCGAGGAGATTCACCTGAAAGACCAGCAGAGACATGGTGTAGGGCCTTTTGTCCCCTAAAAGCTTTGGAGGCACCCACAGCCAAATACCTTTTACTCACACCCCTGGGGATCCTCCAAGGCCTTACATTGAGAACTCGCTGGAAGTCCTCCAAGGAATGGGCCTGATTCTTCTTTAAGTTGTATGTCTTTATGGCCACTGCAATGCCTGCACAGTTGACTGCCACATCCACACGGCCAAATTTTTCTTTTGCTAGAGTCAAGGCTGCTTGCACATCCTTCTCTGAGGTCACCTTCAAAGGGAGAGGCGGAGAAAGTATTCATCTCCCAGCACACACACACACCACTAAACCTGGGCAAGGGGAGCGCAGGTCCAGTCTTTGAGTAACAACAGAACTGCGTAAGCAAGGAGGAGGCCAAAAGAAAACACGAGAGTGGGGCAAAAGTGAAAATGTTAGGTGCTGTAGTGTTCAAAACTGTTTTCAAATCTATACCCTCTTTTGATAAATTCACATACCCCTGGAGATTTGTGGACCAGAGCAGTTTCGAGAACTGCTGATATGATGATAAACTAGCTTTTTTGTACCTCTACCTGCTAAGATGATTTCATCAAGCTTTACTTTCTGTAGTTTGTTTCATGAAGTTTTTCAACTTTGTAAATATAACATTACAGGGCACAATACGCATTTTTAAACTATACATACCCCCTCCAGGAGATTGTGATATATCCAATTCCCATCCCCACTGCTGGGGATCCAGGCTTTGTACATTCCTTATTGCAGGTGCTCCCACAGTGCTGGACGGAGGGCTCAGGCCAAAAGGGACAAGGAGATGGGTCCACTGTCCACACAGATAGCACCCTTAGGGAAGGGGACCCCACGGGTTCCCAGGCGGGTTTCGGTGACCTCGTGCCCACACTTACATCAGCTGGGGCAAAGGCGCAGCTCTTCCCTAACTTCTTGGCTTGGACCTCCCCATCAGAGTCGGGCAGGTCCAGAAGCACAGCAGTGGCCCCTTGCCCCACCAGTCGCTCTGCTGTGGCCAGACCTAGACCAGAGGCTCCTCCGGTTATTAGAGCAACCAGGCCCTGTGAAGAAAGGAACGGTCAACGGTAGACTGCGCACACCACCCCCACCCTTTCTCCTGCCTGTTCTCCAGGCTTCTGCGACGGAGGCTCCTGTGTTCTCCAGGCTTCTGCGACGGCGGTGTGACCCAGGTGTGTTTCCTCTCCTTCAGGACCGGACCTCCGGCGTCTCATGCCCCGACAGCCCATCCAGTCACCCCCCACACAATAAGCCGCGGAGAGTTGACCTTCACCTCCCGAGCCCAACCGCCGCACTACCGGGTCTACACAAGTGTGACTCTTTCTCCCAGCACCGATCTCTTTCCCCCTGGGTCCACGGCCGCGCGGTGCCGGTTGGCGCGGCGGAGCAGCCGGGAGGAGCGAGCCACCCCCTACCTTCACTACCCGGCACGCCGCAGCCATCTTGCTAGGAACTCTCCGCGGGCCGGACGGGCGGGAGGGCGCTGATTGGCCGAGGCGGAGGCGTGGAGGGGCGGGGGATGGGGGAGGCCGCTGAGCACGATTTCGGGGCGTGGCGTCGGCTGCGCGCGTCCCGGACAGAGAGGGCGAGGCCTCCGCAAGGTGCCTCCGGAGTTACTTCACCCGGAGAGAGAACCCGATTGCGGCAGCGCGATACCAGCCACGCTCTCTGCCGGACTCTGTAGCTGATCTCTGGGCAGGCGGCCAGCTCCGCGGGGAGTAGGCGGACAGGAGATTGAGAGTTTTCCTTACTCCTCAGAAAAAGCCTTCATTCAAGCGTAAACATGGGAGAGACCCCTATATTCCAGGCTGTGTGCGGGTCACTGGGGATACCAAGAGGAATACGAAAAGGTTCATGCCTTCCAGAAGGACACAGTTCAGTTGGGGGAAAAGATAATTATAGTACAGACACAGACAAAGGAAGGGACAGAGAACAAGATTCTGAGACATAGACATAGATATCCAAAGATGGAGATTCTGAGAGCCATCAAAGAGAAATATGTTAGGGAAGAGACTGAGAGAACAGAGATGCCAGACAGGATCACAGAGACATGGATGTGGAGAGCCACTAAGAGACAGAGAAGCTAGGAGACAGACATTCTTAAGAAGCACAAGCCCAGAGAAGCAAAAACATCTTTCATCAGCTCAGTCTTTTCTCCTGTCCTCTATCTGTGTCAAACCTATTTTAAATCCCAAAGCCCAAATCACACATTGCCGAGGGGACCTCAACCAGACACCGTCATTTTAGACCCGGGTCTTTGGTCACCCTAGAACATCTTTCAGCCAGCATCCCGATTAGAATCTTGAGCCCACCTAATCTACCTAATCTGACTTCCTCCCTGACTTCTTCCCCAAACCAAGGTCTTCGAGCCATAAATCTTAGTCTACATTTTCAGCCCCATTCAGCTTCATGTTTCCTCTATCTGAAGTATCTCCCCACATGCTTTCCCACCCAGAAAGACTTCCCTCTGGGCCTCCTAGTTGTTGATAACCACCACACTCATGGTCACTATACCATATTCATCAAAGGATTCAGTACAAGATTCACAATCTTTCTGACTACATGCAGTCCTCCCAGCAATTTATAGCACTCTTGGCTGGGCCCAATATGCTCCAGCCACATGGCCTCTTTGTGTTCATCTTTGCATTAGCTGTTCCTTCTGCTTGGAATTCTCTCTCCCCGATGTTCACATGACTGCCTTTTTTTTTCGTTTTTTGATCATTTAGAACTAAGCTTAAATGTCACCTCCCTCTCCCTGACCACTCAAGCTGTAGACAGCTAGTTCTTATCCCATTGTGTTGGAGGAATTTATCGAGGAGGTGACCACTGGTTGACCTGAGAGCTGGAGCCGGCAATGGAGTATGGAGAGTATCTCTGCGCCCCTTCCCCTGTCTTTGGAATGTATGCTCTGCCCAATGTTCCCACGGCCAGAGCCATTTCAGGGACACAGCCTTGAGAGAGTAAAATGTTGTTGAGACCATCTGGACTGAACACATGACTGAACCCAGCTAAAGCCTCTATATAAATTTTTAAGATTCCAGTTGGTGGGTGCAGAGATCTACTCATCTTTCAGCTGTCCAAGACAAGCCTTGTATGTAAATTCCCTTGCTTGTTAAATCTGCCACCTACCAATCTGGGGCAGTCTGCCTCTATCTTTGGTCTCTCCATGCTCTCCATGTACAGGGGCCAATTTGTGAGCCAACATATTGCCTATTTGAATTCTCTGCATAGCACTTACAGACCCGTAACCTTTTTTCTAATCTTGGGGCCAGGTGTGTTTTGGAATTCAGATTTTTTTTTTCAATTTTACAAAGGAAGACCTACTCTATATTACATAACTCTATATACTGCATATACTCTATACTACATAACTACTGAGAAAGGTCTAGAGCATCACTTACAATTAAACATTAATATTTCTAGAGTGAAAAGTGTGAACATTATTAACATTGAGTGTGAATCAAAACTATAGACAGCCTCACATTACTTCAGGTCAGGTTTTGTCACCTAATGGGTTTGGGCTCCAAAGTATGCTTTTCAGAACTTTTGTGTCATGGAATTGTGCCTAAAGGCTTTTGAGCCTTGTCTAACCCAGTCTTATTTGTGTGTGCGTGCATGTGTGTGTTGTGTAGTTCTCTCCCTGCTAGAAGGTAAGCCCCACAGCGGCAGGGTGTTGTCTTACTGGTTCACCACTTGGCTACCCAATCCCCAAAGCACTGCCTAGCATGTACTAGACACTCAATACTGATGAATGAATCGATCAATCAATCAGTCAATCAATCAAACAATCTTGGGAGAATATTGGGGCCCAGCTTCATGATTCCTTCATCTGCTTAACTCCAGGGACCTTCACCTCCTCTTGATTTTAACCACTTCTGTCTAGGCGACATTATTAACCTTGCCATGCCCTGGAATGACTCCCTCACTTCCCTGGCATCTACACACCACCATCTCTCACTCTGAACATGTTGTCCCAGTCATTTTGGCTCTCCTCCCTTCCACACTTCTTTTATCTCCTTGAACCCTGTTATTCCATGGGTCTTTCCATTTTCTTTCCACCTAGCAGCCTCTTCCTACTTTTCTTCTGGCCAGTGTAGACCCTCTCTCATTCCCCTTCTCTCTTTAACCACTCTTGCTGGCACCCTCCAACCATTTGTCGCTTGACATCCTACTAATTCAACTTCTTCACTTTTCAGCACAGACTCTGAAGCCAGAAGGCCTGGGTTTGAATCTCAATTCCATCATTTACTAGCTGAATGACCTTGGGCAAGTTACTTAACTATTGTGCCTCAGTCTCCTCTTTCATAAAATGGGTATAATCAAAGCACCTATCTTGTAGAGTTGTTAGGAATAAACGAGTGAATGACTATATAAGAAAAAAGGGTACTCAGAGCAGTACCTGGCCTTTAGCAAGAGCTATGTAAATGTTAGCTATTGTTACTCTTCAGAGCAGTGTCTCTTAGCCTTTTTTAGGCTGTGAAAACCTCTGGCAGTCTGGTGAAGTCTAAGGAATCCCTTCGCAGAATAATGCATGCATTAGATAGGATATAAAAATAGGATTACAAAAGAAATATAATTACCAAAATAAAAAGAAATACATCTGTAATGTAGTAATATATGTGCTTCTTTATTTATACATTAAACCCCAAGCTCTATCAACAGGTCTCATGACTACCATGATTTCAAAATAGTGATGTTATTTCAAGAGATCTGTAACAACTCTGATATGCTATGAAAATCTGATTTCCACTGGTAACAAAGCCACAGGTACTGCTAATACTATTGTAGTTTGTTAGATCCCCTAGAAGGACATACTACACCTTGTGTTGATGATAGTGAAAATAAAGATGCAATTTCCCCCATCCAAGTCCATGGGCTGCTTGAATTCTCCCTACAGTCTCTGAAAGGGCTGTGGACCCCGGGTTAAGAACTCCTGTGTTTAGAGCAAATGGAGGCCATTAAGTGAACACTTCCTCTCTCATCACCTTCAATAATGTCTCTACCCACACTATCCATCCTTTCCTTGGGTCTCAGAGGAGAGAGGTCCTGCTTGGGCCTTGCCCTTCCCACTGGGCTCTGGGTCCCAGCCCCTCCCATTTGCTTGGGTGTTTGTGCCATTGAGCATCCTCTCTCTTTATTGCACACAACTCTGTCTCAAGATCATTAGAAAATAGGGAACTGAGCAAACCCAACTTTTGCACACAACAGATAATCATCACTTTTGGGGTACGTGGGCGAGAAATGAGCAAAGGAGCATGTCACCAGAACCAGCAACATCCAGCATTATCTCACAGTCCCCAGGGGGTATTAACCCTACCAGGAGATGAGAGAAAAACAAAGGTGGTTTTGCCCCTGGGAGATAAAAACCACAAGATAACCCGTTTAACCCTTGCGGGTACCTGCCATTACCCCTGCAAAGACAGAGCTTCACTGGCTCCAGCTGACTCTGAGGTGGCATTGGAAAATATAAAGGATCCCAAATGGTGAGTGTGGGGAGCATCCAAATGTGTGCCTGTTGGGGCACAATTTGAATAAATGCTTTAAATTCTGAAGGCATGTGTGGAACATGAGAATGTGGCTAGCATCTGAGAGTGTGCTGAGGATGCATGCTGGCTGAGTGTTTACCATTTGAATAAATGCGACTAATGTCTGAATGAACTTGTGTGATTCCAGCCTAAGTTCATCATGACTCTACCATTGCCCAAATCGACAGCCATTGTTTAGCCTTGGTATAATCAGAACTTTCTGGCTGCATTTTGCCATGTTTGATCACTTCCTCTTCCTAGAAACCCCCCCCTTGGTTTCCATGACACCTAACTCTCCTGGTTCTTCCTACTTCCCTGACTGTTCCTTTTGGTCTTCTCCCTGCACCCCCTTTTCTTCTGCACCCCGTCTCTGGGGAGCTCAACCGTCTCTTAGTTTTGATACTGCCTCTGCTGAGGATTTCCCAATCTGCCTCCAGCTCACCTTCTCCACTGAACTTCAGAATGAGGTAGCCAATCATATGCTGGCCCCCTACACCAGATGTCCCTCAGGCATCTACAACACGTGTCCTAAACTAAACTCAATCATTGCCCCTTAAAACTTCTTTATCTCAGCTGGTAGTAATATCATCTCTCCAGGCACACAAGCTAGATCTTGGGACTGATGCCCTCTTCATTCTTTCTAATCAGTTACCAGATCCTGTTGATTTAACTCCTGCATACTTCTTGAATCTGGCACCTCCTCTTTCCTAGCTTCCAATTATCACCACCCCAAATCTCTTGTCTGTACTATTGCAACTGGTCAGATCTCACAATTATCCCACTTAAAAGGATCCTTCTTGAGAAGCCAGCAGAAGCCTCTTTCTAAAACTCAAATTTTGGGGGCACCTGGGTGGCTCAGTCATTAAGCGTCTGCCTTCGGCTCAGGTCATGATCTCAGGGTCCTGGGATCGAGCCCCGCATCGGGCTCCCTGCTCAGCGGGAGGCCTGTTTCTCCCTCTCCCTCTCCCCCTGCTTCTGTTCTCTCTCTCACTGTGTCT